GAAGGGAAAAAAAAAAAAAAAAAAAAAAAAAAAAAAATTTTTTTTTTTTTTTTTTTTTTTCGAATTTTTTTTTTTTTTTTTTTTTTTTTTTTTTTTTTTTTTTCTGGGACTTCCTTGGTCCTTGCACGGGCTGGCCACCCAGGACCCGGCGGCCCGGCTGGTAGCCCAGGAGAAATATAAAATGTATCAACCCCAGATTCCCTCTCAGGTAAATTGTGGGGGAATCAACAAATACACAAAATCCCCACAAATACACAATGCACCAACCGCAGATTTCCTATAACGTGAATGGCGAATAAAGTTCAATAAAGATGAATAAACAAATAATATACAATCTACAAGCCCCAGATTTCTTACTCGTCTTATGCTTGCATCAGAGTGTGTTGGAATTTCGCTCCACCACATAACATTCTGAATGTATATGAGCTCATATTGATCTACACATATTCTGGCTGACCTCGAATTTTCGATGCATCTGAACACTTATCAGATCCACAATATTATATACACATTTCGAATGTTGTGTCGTAGCGTGAGCCCCCAGTTCATAAGAGGAACATGTCTCTAAACCATCGCTACTACGATCCGCACATCCGGATGGTAATGCCATCATTTCCAGGCAGCCTGCAGTCCACGGTCCGGAATGAGCTGTCTCGACGAAATTTGGTCCAAAAGTCGTAAATACAGTTTTCATTCCATCTCTTTCTTGTTTTTTGTTGACACAGGTTCTTGGCGCGCTTGGTGTTGCATACAGGTGCTGCGGTGTATTTTTTATTTGTGGTGGCGTTGTAGGCCGTCGCGGAGGGGGCTCTAATTTTTTTTTTTGACCATTGGCATGTGTGGTCGGTGCTTTTTTGTTAGTGGAGCCTTTTGCGTTATGCTGTTGGGTTTGTTTAATTAAGTCTGCGGTTTTGGGGACCGACGCGGAGGGCTCTCCAAGTTTTTTCGGGCCTATGGCGGATGGGGTCGGTGATTTTGTGCTGGTGGAGTCCTCTGTCTTAAGTAAGGTGCCTATTGCCCTCCACCCTTTTATGGATGATGAAATAAATATATATATAGTCAAACAGAGCTGCCCGGTAAACCGTAGGCAGAGAGGGAGAAGAGGACAGCAAACGAGGGGCTGTGACAAACTGTTTCGTCGGATTTTCACCGACTCATCAGGAGGCTGAACCCTCAACAGTCTGCAGAATCCCCAAACTGATTTCACTGTAAGTGATAATCATGGTTTCCCCGGACCCTGATACCCAGACACCGAACACCGGGCCCTGACCCGTGTCTGGATTCATCCGGGCACCGATCCGGACAACTGGACATTCGGACCTGGACGGTCCAGTTATGAATAAACAAGTCCGGATGTCCGGATAA